AACTCTGCGGTTTGACAGCTCTCCAAAACCTTTCACACCATCCTGGCCACAGGCCAAATTTCACTACGACTGTATCCTTTGGTAATGTACCGAGAGTGCCCTCCCCCTCCACTCCACCCACACTCCACCCCAACCCTTTTGTATTTTGTAGAATAAAACTTCACCAAGGATATGAACAGTCACCCTCCTCATATAGAGCATAAACACAACACTGCCTCCTTTGTGTTTGCGCAACAGAAACTTTGCAATAAACAGATGTAGAAACTGCCGCTCTGGGCCTTAGATGTTGAATAAATATTTTTCTGAAAAGTGTGTGTCCACTTGGTTAAGTCTGTTACGACTGTAACCACATATCTTCTTATACATCTGAAAGGAATGATAGCAATGGCATCACTATTGGTGAAATTGTGTTTGCTTCCGTGTGCTTTGCCAGATTTAAACTTCATTATGTAAACCAAGCCGACTACTTTGTTAAAGCACACAAGGAAGGAATTCAATCAATTCCACAAAAAAAACATGCCTTGAGCGTATAGGATGCACATTTCTGTATGTTAAAGTTTTAAATCTTTTTAAACATGGCCATTCTTTCAATGAATTCTACTGCAATTTACTTCTGAATACAATGATCCTCTTTCATTGCTTCAGTGGTTAGCATGTTGGTTTTAATGTTAATATGCCTGTTTATTTAGCCTTTAGCTCACCCCTCTGCTAAGCTTTTGACTAAAGTGCTAATCTCTGGAGAGGCTGCAGTAGAGTTACGGTTTTTTGTTTTTTTTTTCTTTTTTTGTGGGGGGTTTCCCCTACTTTTTTCCCAACTCTGAGTTCAGCCAAACTATTTAGTCCAATCACCTCTAATGGAAGACGCTGCGGCATGTGATTCGTCCGACTCACGTGATGACTAGCCCTAAATTTTTTTACGCTATGCAGTCACGCCTCCAATTACACACTGCCTATGCCGTCAGAGGATAACGCAATCAGCTTACATTGTTCAGCAACATGTGCCTGGCTGACCAGGAGTGGTCACTAGAGAATTATGAGACTAAAGAATTTTGACCAGATTAACCCCTATTATCCTTGGCAAGGCCGCGCAAATTCTTGCCTCGCCCATGCAGGGCTCCAGCTAATGTTGGTGATGGCCTGGGATTCAAAAATCTACCAAAAGGCTTCCAGGCGAATATCTTATAATAATAATAACTTTTTTGTATAGCACCTTTTCACAAGACTATTTATGAAGTGCTTCACATAATAAACAAGGGCAACGCAAAGCGTAGCATCCCCTCGCCGGGTACAAATGTTGTACATGTACATGTGTATATACGTCAGAAGAAGTTACTTTCATTAGACAATACTATTTTAGACTTTATATTAGACTTTATGGAATGGCCCATGAGAAGATCTGAAAATAAACTTTAGGTTAATTGGTATGCAGATTTAATAAAAGAATGTGAATAAAATCAGGGATTTACTGAGGAAGATTAAAGCACATATGAGAAGGTGACAAAATGAAAGAAGAGTGAAAAGTGAAAACATAATATGAATGTATCCTTGAACTTTCAAAGGTTAGTACTGTATAATATTTGAAATAGTGTAATGGCATGAAAGAAATCTTGGATGTGATTAAGAAGCAGCACTCATGACAACATAATGATAAGGTCCCATGGGACAGTCATCACGTTATACTGTTAAATCTTCTGGAAACCATTTTCGCATATTTAATGAGCTATGACCTTTGACCTACATACTCCGAAATGGAACTTGAGCTGTGTTTTGATACCATGTAACTTCATATCAAATTTCATTAAAATCCGTCAAACATTACTCAGGTTATCGTACGGAAACCATTCTCGCATATTTCATGAGCTATGACCTCTGACCTTTGACCTACATACTCCGAAATTGACCTTAGGCTGTGTTTTCATACCATGTACTTTCATATCACATTTCATCAAAATCCGTCGAAAATTACTCAAGTTATCGAACGGAAACCATTTTCGCATATTTAATGAGGTATGACCTTTGACCTGCATACTCCGAAATTAAACTTAGTCTGTATTTTGATATAAAGTACCTTCACATCAAATTTAATTAAAATCCGTCATATACTCAAGTTATCGAACGGAAACCATTTTTGCATATTTAATGAGCTATGGCCTTTGACCTACATACTCCGAAATCGAACTTAGGCTGTATTTTGATATCAAATTTCATTAAAATCCGTCAAACATTACAAAAGTTCTTGAACGGAAACCAGATTTGTTATGGACGGACGGACGGAAGGACAGACGGCGGCTTTACTATATCTCCCTCCGACTACTTTGTCGGCGAGGGGATAAAAAGGCATAAAAGCAAACATTTAGCAGAATAGAATAATAGTAAGAACAACTAGAATAAAATTTGAATTTGGTACACAGATATGAAAGAAGAAATATAAAAATGAAAATAAAAATAATAAAATAAACAAACCTATTCGAAAGCAATGGTAAAAAGATGTGTTTTAAGATGCTTCTTACAAGCTCTGCATGTATCAGTAGCTCTCAACTTAACTGAGAGCGCGTTCCAAAGTGTAGGCTGACTCACTACTCTTAAGCCTAATTTTAAGAATGGTCAGCAAACTGCTATAGGAAGATCTAAGTGATCTACACGGTACATCTTTCACTATCATTTCACGGAGGTAGGGTGGGGCGAGACCATGAAGACATTTGAAAACTAATAAAATGATCTTAAAATCAATTCTTGAAGATACAGGTAGCCAACGAAGGGATCTAAGAGCAGGTGCAATGTGGTCTCTCAGTCTAGCACGTGTTATTGTCCTAGCAGCAGCGTTCTGAACTCTTTGAAGTGCAGAAATTGATTTTTGTTGAGCCCAGATAGGAGGGATTTAGAGTAATCTAACCTAGCTGTCACCAAGGTGAACTGTTTTTCACAGTCAACAGTAGAAAGCATGTGATGAACCTTAGAAATATTACTTAAATGGTAAGAACCAGTTTTGCATACATTACTGATATGGTTCTTGAAGCAAAGATCACTGTCAAAAATTACACCAAGATTTCTTCCATGGTCCTGTACCTTTAGTGCTAGGAAGTCTAGATGAGGTTGAATGATATCTCTCTGGGCTTTAGTACTGATTATCAGAACCTCTGTTTTGTCCTTGTTTAATTGTAAGAAGTTCTGAGACATCCATTGGTTATCGTGATCTATACACTGCAGAGGGGAACAAATGGACTTCTGACAGTCAGGTGATATAGATAGGGTATAACTGTGTATCATCAGCAAATTGATGGTGGCAAATGTTATATGTCTTAATGATAACGGCAAGGGGAAGCACGTAGAGGCTAAATAACATTGGCCGCAAAAATGAACCTTGTGGAACACCACAGGATAAAGCATGATTCTTGGAAATGAAGGTGTCAAGTGCAACATAATATTTACGATCTATGAGATAAGAGCTGAACCAGTCTAATACTGAGCCAGAGAGGCCAACCCAGTGTTCAAGCCAGTAAATTAAAATCTCGTGATCCACCGTATCAAATGCAGCACTGAGATCAAGAAGAATTAAAACAGACAATTGAGTCTCTGTTCATTTTCAAATTATTTAGAACCTTTACAAGCGCTGTTTCACTGCTGTGGTGGGCCCGAAAACCAGACTGGAAGAAATCATAAATATTCTTATCTTAGCAGCGAGCTACTCAGAGGCTCGGTACGATATTGAATATATACAAATAAATAAAGGCAATGTGGGCAAGCTATATTGAGGGCTCAAGAAAGAGCAGTGTCATCCAAGATAGACGTTTCCCAGTTGGATGAATGAGTATTTTTGGTTATAAGCCATTGTAAGCCACATTCTCTGATTAGTCTTTTAAGAGAAGTACAGTACTCTGAGTCTGTTAAGCACTGCCTTTTTAACGGCATAATTTTTTTTTCCGCATTAAAATATCAACAAAAAAAAGACTATACCTGTGTTTTGTACTTTTTGTAGTGGTGTGCTTACGTTATCCTAGTTTTTTCAAACAATATTCAAAACCAGTGAAGTCCTAATTTTAATCAACGTAACGGTCTATTTGGTCGGCTCTTGATGGTAACATATCCCCTGTACTCTTCTACTTCTGTAAGTTCCGAGGAAACACGAGGAAGACCAGATGATAAATCAGAGTGAGAGAGGAAGGACCTCCACAAACTAGCTAGCTAGCAACTACATTTTGCGTTATTGTATGTATTACTTATTTCTGGTACCATTGGCTGCATGTCCTGAAGCTGCCAACAGAGCGCAAACAAACGGGTGATCTAAGTGGTGCGTCCTCTCTGAGTAACGTTGGATTAACCATACACACTATGGTTTATTGCAATGGTTTTGTGCTTTTGCTATTACCACACTGGTTTGATTTAACCATGTGTACAGCAGTGACTACAAATGCCAGATAGGCTACATTACACATAATCAGCGAAACAGCCTGTTGCTCTGGCTATGTGTTCAAACTTTGCCAAGTGAAGTAACGTAAATTCAAATTACATTTTGATTTATGTATTAGTAATATAAAAGTGGTTTCTCCACGAAGAGAAGTTATAATGTCACTCAAAGTAATGACTACATAGTTAAACATGTCCTAGGGTAAGTGCAAATCATGTAGTGTCACAGAATGATTCTCTGTTATGGTAATACCACATTTTATTGCCTCACAGTGTAATTTTTCAATAATTACTTGCCACTTTGCCACACAGTAAATCCAATAGAGACCTAATTTATTGATATGATATTTCAACACTGATTTAGTTTACTATGATGAGCTAGTTTTACAAGTGGTTTATACCAGCTTGTACCATACCATACTAATATAAATGGTAATGTACTGTATGTGTGTTTATGTAATGGCAAGTTAAAGTTATGCTAGTGTGGCAGGCCGAAGGACGGTCAGCGCAGAGTCTGGGTTGTGACAGTTGATGGGTCTTGTCACTAGAGATGCCTCCTAATAAGTATGCGCCCTGGCTACCTTGCCAATGAGCCTGGCTCTTTGGCGATGTGGTCAGCGCATGTGACTCTTACCCGGAAGTCGGGGTTCAATCCCCCGCCCGGGCCATCCTTCAGCCTGCCACATTCTGGCATAATCAGCAAAATTCAGGGAATCCCAATGGATGGCAGCATGCGTAAAGCATGGAGCGTGAGGACACACTCTCAAAAGAGGGGGAGAGATGTGACAGTTGATGGGTCCTGTCACGAGAAATTCCTCCTAATAAGTACACACTTTGGCTACCTTACCAGTGAGCCTGGCTCTTTGGCGATGTGGTCAGCGCATGTGACTCTTACCTGGGAGTCTGGGGTTCAGTCCCCCGCCCGGGCCCTCCCCACTAGCTAATGTTATTTGTGGCTATTTCATAAGAATGAAATGTCATAACATGAACAAGAGTTGGATAAATTACCTCTTCCGTGAAAGGTGGTTGTTTAACAATGAAGACAATAACTCCAGTGCTCGGAAGCCACACCTTTCAGTCATTTGGTATGATATTAGTTCCATTGTGATGTGTAGCACCACAGATACATCTCACGGCTCACGGCCACCATCATGAACGAGTTGAAAGCATTTAACCTGAAACTCGACAGCGTGCATTCCTCGTTTGAAAAACAGTTAAACAAAAAAGTTGACAGCTTGCGATCATCCCTGGAAAAGCTGGTAACCGATATAGGAGATACTCTGAAGGCTGAGCTGGAGAAGAAAACTTAGGAGATTTGTGACGATTTCGACATGGAGATCGGTTACCTGAGAAGCCGTGTCGAAGCCCTGGAGGCGAAGCTGGGAGGTCCTAGCCCCAAGCCTAGCGACTATGACCCCGATGAGTCCATTATAGTCTCGGGCTTGCCTTTCGAAGAAGGCAAAGATGTCAAGGTAAAGGTAGAGGAAATGCTCGCCAATGGATTGCAGTGTGAAGTGGATGTAGTTGCGGCAGAGAGAACAAAGCCTAGAGGCCATGGATTCGATGTGGTAAAGATACATCTTCGCACAGGACGGGAGAAAGTTGCCGTCCTCAGGGAGAAGCAGAAGCTGAAGAACCACAGTTCGTATGAGAGAGTACACCTGAGATCTGCAAAATCCCACACGGACAGGCTCATAGAACTGAACTTTAAGACTCATTTGCAGGGCGCCCCGGTGGCTCATCTGTCTAAGCGCGCGTACCATAAAGGCTGTGTCCTTCCCGCAGCGACCTGGGTTCGATTCCAGCTCAGATCATTTGCTGCATGTCCTCCCCCATTCTTCTCCCCAACCTTCCTGTCTCTCTACACTGTACAACTGTCAAATAACGGAAAAATTCCCCAAAAAATAATCTTTAAAAAAAAAAGACTCTTTTGCGAGAGATTCCTGGTAGAAATATATATTTCATCACGGTAAGCGGGCGAGTTAAGAAGCAGGACCTTCGCACCACCCCACCCGACAACACTCGCGCTGCCAGACCGTGAGACCTTGATGCCCCGCCTGTACGGATCAAATCAGCATTGCACACTGGAATGTGAACGGTTGGACTCCATTAAACTGTGAGTTAAGAGAAACTGTACTGCATAAATTATCGGCTGATATTATTTCCGTAAATGAAACTCACTTGAAAAATAATGATGTGATTGAACTAGATGGATATATTTGGTTCGGTCAGAACAGAAAGAATCACCATAGACCTCCAAAAGGCTCGGGTGGAGTTTGAGTTGTAAAAAGTACATTATTTAACCTGTATAAAATTGTTGTCTTAGATAAAGAAATCAATGGCATCTTAGGTATAGACTTTGACCATCGGGTATCAGACTTCACTTTCGTAGTGTTTTCATGTTACCTTCCCCCCGATCAATCTCCATAGGGACGAAATGCCACCGAATATTTTAGTAACCTGTTGTGCCAGGTGCATGCTATGGAAGACGTGGATAGCATTTACATATGTGGGGACTTAAACAGCCACACAGGTGATCTTGATGATTGCATAGCAGAGGTGGATGGTATCCCGCCATGAGCTCCACTGGACACAACAGTTAACAATCATGGGACAAGCTTAATAGGATTTCTAAAAGACTCAAAAATGTGTATGGTAAATTGTAGAATCTGCCCAGAAAATGATAATTTTACTTCTATTTCCCCGCAGGGAAAAGCGGTTGTTGATTATATTTTGCCTCAAAATGCCTCACAATTGTCTAAGTACTTGTAATGACTTCAATGTGTTTACCCCCACCCAGTTGGTGGAAAAATGTGGACCATCATGTATGAGTTTAATTGGTGACCGCAGCAGATTACCAGACCACTCTCTTCTACTTCTGAGTTTCTATGTAGGGATTTAACCCCTTGAAATCCAACAGTCTGGGCCACAACCAAATGCCACAAAGTACCATAAATGTAGAAACCTGTCGGAAAACTTTCTGCAATCTGACATTAGTCGTAGAGCCTTACTTAACCTGATTGAAAATCTCCAGGTGGTACAGAAAACTCAGGAAAATATTGATTTGTGGTACAATTTGTTGTGTGATGTTATCTTTAATGAAGAGAGCGTAAGTACAACTGATGGTAATGTAAATGTGTCAAGATGTAGGAATCTGCACAGACCTGGTAAATGCTTCTGGAATACTGAGCTTGATAATCTATGGGCACAGATGAGGAATGCTGAGCGCGAGTTTGTCAGATGTAAGGGAAGCCAAAGGTGTAGAAATTAACTTAGGAAAGAATTTAAAAACAAACAACATGCATTCGACAGGAGACTCCGGTACTATAAACGAAAGTATCAACGAGGACAAGTGCTCGAAATTGAAGGCGTTAAAAGTCCCAATTTCCAGAGGTTCTGGAATGAGATAAACAAGTTAGGCCCAAAGAGAAACACAAAAATTCCTATGGAGGTGGCAGACGAGAATGGAGTTGTGATACAGCGTGTAGAACGAGTCCTTGAGATATGGGAAAGGGATTTTACCGAGCTATTCTCGAGGAACAGTGCAGAAACTGATTTTGATGAGAATTTCTTTTTGGAGATATGCACTCTTAAACTCCAATTAGAAAATGAGATAAGAGATTTTGCGTACTGCCCAAATGAATTCTTAAATGCTCAGATTTTATTAGTTGAAGTTAAGACTGCCTTGGATACTGCTAAACTCGGAAAGGCGACAGCAGTGGACGAAGTATCAAATGAGATGCTAAAAACACCAAATGTACTGCATGCTTTACACACTCTCTTTCAATCCTGCTTTGAGATTGGCCTCATCCCATCCATGTGGTATCAGTTTATTATTAAGCCTATCCCTAAGACAGCAAAGAAGGACCCCAGAGTCCCCTTAAACTATCGTGGAATAAGTTCAATGAGCTCAGCGTATAAGATCTACTCAAGTATTCTCAATAACAGATTAACTCAGCACCTAGAGTCCGCAAATCTTATTGTAGACGAACAGAATGGTTTTCAGAAAGCCAGAGCCTATAGAGGTCATATATACACAGTCTGCACAGTTATCAGAACCAGGTTGCAAGAAAGAAAATCCACCTTTGCCTGTTATATTGAATTTCAGAAGGCTTTTGATTGTGTTAATAGGGAACTTCTAGCTTTTAGATTTATTCAAACTGGGGTTGATGGTAAATTTTATGAGGCCTTAATGACCTTGTACAGGTCTCCAATAGCTTGTGTACAAGTTACTGAGTATAATACACAATGGTTCCCAACCCCCTTCGGCGTAAAGCAGGGGGATGGACTGTCACCAACCCTATTCTCACTCTATGTTAATGATCTTGCGCATCAAATTAAGGTGTCAGGGCTGAGAGTCAAGTTGGGTGACATAACACTGAGCTTGCTGCTTTATGTAGACAATATAATTCTTCTAGCAGAGACAGAAGATGAATTGCAAAGAATGTTGTACTTTGTAGCAGACTTGGTGCTATAAGTGGAGACTTATGATCAACCAAGGAAAAACTCATATCATGCACTTTTGAAATAGAGGGCTAAGGAGGAGCTCCTATGAATTCCTCTTCGGAGAGATGAAATTTGATTATGTGATTTCCTATAAGTACTTAGGACTTTTTCTAGACAAACACCTGTCTTTCTCAACGGGGGCTAGCGTACTTGCAGATGCTGGGGGGAGGGCCCTAGGAGGGATTTTTGGAAAACTTAAAGTACTAAAGGATCTAAAGGATATCAAACATATACAAATTATTTGAGGCTTGTGTTTGCCCTATCCTTGATTATGCAGGAGTGTGGGGCTTTGCAAACCACAATAAACTGCCTGGGATCCAAAATAGGGCGATCCATTGTTTCCTTGGGGTACACAAATTTGCTCCCAAACTAGTGATAACATGGGATATGGGGTGGACCCCATGTGAAATTACAACCCCAATTCTGAAATAGTTGGGACGAAGTGTAAATTGTGAATAAAATCAAAATGCAATGACTTTCAGATCACGAGCCAATATGTTATTTACAATAGAACACAGAAAACATTTCAAATGTTGAAACTGAGACATTTTACACATTTATCCACAAAATGAGCTTATTTCAAATTTTCTGGCTGCAAGAGGTCTCAAAAAAGTTGGGACACAGGCAAAAAAGGGCTGAAAAAGCAACTAATATATAAGAGAATCAGCTGAAAGAACATTTAGCAAGTAACTAAGTTAGCTGGCATCAGGTGTGTAACATGATTGGCTATAAAAGGGATGTCTTAGAGAGGCTGGGTCTCTCAGAAGTAAAGATGGCCAGAGGCTCTCCAACCTGTGAAGGCTTGCATAAAAAAATTGTGGAACACTTTAAAAACAATGTTCGTCAACATCAAATTGCAAAGGCTTTGAAGGTCTCATCATTGGCAGTGCATAACATCAACAAAAGATTCAGAGAAACTGGAAAAATCTCTGTGCATAAGGGACAAGGCAGAAGACCTTTACCGAATGTCCATGATCTTCGGGCCCTCAGACGCCACTGCATCACTCACCGGCATGATTCTGTCATTGACATTACTACATGGGCCCAGGAATACTTCAAGAAACCATTGCCTGTAAACACAGTCCGCCGTGCCGTCCACAGATGCCACCTAAAACTCTATCATGCCAAAAGGAAGCCATTGTTGAGCATGATCCAGAAGCGC